TAGTTGATCATAATTTTGCTTAATATCACTGGATCACATTGAATCAATCTAAAATTATTTTCATTCGCTCAGCTCGATGAGCTCTCTCGAATAAGCTCTTATCAGTATATACGAAATTCTTTACCCTTAATCAAGAGCTTGGTACTTCTAATTTTTTCAATTTCCGAAGACTTACTTATCTAAATCCCCGGGCTTTTCTGTTCAAAGAGAGTGATAACATTCGAATTTAACTCAAAAGACGTTTTAATAAAATCTGTACTTTCGAGTTGAAGTTTTGTTGCTTAAGCATAAATAAATTTTAATTTTTATTAACCATCCTATTTATCATCGCTTTAATTTTATTTTTAAAAGTTTGATTTAAAAAAATGAATAAATTCCACATTCTTTTACTTCTACTAGTGATTTTGACAATTACCGTATTGAGTGAGGCATCTCATCCTGTTGCTCTTGAAAATTCTGATTCTCGGTAAAGATAAAAATTCTTAATTTTAATTAAACTATTATTTAATTTTTAGTATGTTGGTGAAAAGAGAGGTTGCAGCAATAAGGGCAAAACGTTTTGGATGGGGGTGATTATTTTTAAAATTAATTATTTAAAGAAATTTAATTTACATTATGACTATATATGCTTTATGGATTTGGCTATTTATGAAAATTCTTTTCTGCATATTAAATTAATAGGACCTAGCTTTATTACCTTTAGACATCGCTAAAAATACCTCGCAGTTACTCCTTAGTTAATCTAAGACTTACAAAATTCCCAGTATGGCACTTAGGCATGTGGTAAGCAATCAATTCTAGATTTCATGGCAAATCTTAAGTAGGATATTTTGATTTTTGTAACATCTAATATTTCCATTATCGTTGATTTAATTACTCCAAGAAAAAAACATGGTTGGCCACAGTGTAAGTAGTGTGCCTAAACGATTCCTCTATTTAACTCTCTCTCTCATAATAAGATAAAAAAATTTTTTCCAATCTCAAGAGTGTATTTAGTGTGTGGTAGACTATCGGACTCTTCTCTTTAATATTTTTATAAAAGAATGTAGAACTTTTTAATTAAAAATATTTTTTTCTAGTTGCTGTGGTGGAGGCGGTATCGGACTCTTCTGGGGCGGCCGATGATTCTTAATTAAAAAGAATTATGTATTTGTGGAATAAATAGAAATATAAAATAATAATATTTAGAATTAATATTAAATTAGAAAATTACTTTATTTTTAGTATTGTCTAGATTTTTATTCTCAAATTAATAAAGAATCTAATTCTGACATTTAATGTTTTAATCAGTTCTTAAATTTGAGGATTTTTTAGCTCCAAACTTCTAGCTTTCCTTCTCTTAGATAATTTATAGTGCCTTAGAATTTTTTCTGAACTGGTGTTTAATTGTAGATAAAAATTGTCTGTAAGTCTTTATTTTGATAAATAGGCTATTTTAATCTGACAAATGAGCTATATCCAGTAATTCATATAGCTATTGTATTCCTAAGGATGTGAAGTAGGCAGCGTGGTATAATGGTTAACACATCAGTTCGGTCTACGGAAGATGCTGGTTGTCCCAGTCGCAGAATAACCTCTTGCACTAGCTAAAGGAGACACCTAAATATCTATTATAGCCCAATAAAGTTTATAAAACTTTATTCCAATTTAATAAAAAATCCCTCTAAATCAACAGTTAAATGCTTTCTTGCATTTAGATTCTTTTCAATTAGCCAAGAGTTAAAGAAAATATATAAAAATGTTCCTTACACATTACTAGTAGTGCAAAGGGAACACAAAATACTTTTTTACTAATTTTTAGTTTTTAGTCTGTTTTTATTACCAAAAATTTTTTTCTACTCATTTTTCACGTCAAAAACTAAAAAATTATTCTTTCCTCTTTAAAAAAGATCAACCTTTATTTGCAAATATAAATATTTAGAGTAAATTAATTGTGATATAGAAACACTATTTTGTTCATTAATTAAGGCAATTAAATTCTTTTTAGTTTTTATTAGATAGGCGTGTTCTTTAAAAATTCTTTTGGGTAATTTTGTATAAAATAAATAAAACTTGACAGGGTTTTTGGCAGTTTTTAATAAATTATAGTGAAGAAGTAAGTTCCGTTCGAGTTTATAACTCTTAAATAAATACCCAAATATTTCAATTCTTGATATCATTCTATAAAAAAATTAATTCTCTATTAAATTAAACTAGAATAAAACTATTATTTTGTATTTGTTTAAAAACTATTCGAGTCCCCTTATCTTCCTTCAATCCTATTCTGATTTTTACTTGTTACTTTCTGAATTAATTTAAATCTTGATATCTTTAACTTTCCCTTGATAATTAAATTCCGTAATCTAAGAATTTATTTTATATTCGATTTTATGAAGAATTTAATTATCAAGGGAAAGTTAAAGATATCAAGAATTAAAAATAATTTAGAAACTAACATATGGAAAGTAGTTGTAGAAAAACACGTCAAAACCTTAGAGAACCCTAATTTTTATCTTAAAATTATTTAATTTTGATTGTTACTTTCAAAATTCTAAATTTTTTGCATTATTCAGTAGTTTAAGAGAAAAAATTACTATTACACAAAAATAATTTTTATTCATTTTTAATTCAAAATTTAATTTTTAAAATTTAATATTAACTAAATTAAATAGTTTTTACATAGATATTTTAATTAGAATAAATTACAAAAAATGAACAAATTTTATATTTATGTTTGCCTTATTGCCGTCTTTCTGGCATTTATCGTAGTGACCGAGGCCACTAAAGGAACATCAACGGGAAATGAGGAAAAGCCTGTTGATTCTGAGTAAACCTGATTTTTTAAATATTTTAGAGGATTCAAATATTATTTTAAAAATCAAAAAAAAATTTCAAAGAATTTTTAAAAATCAAAAAAATTTTTTCAGCAGTGCGTCGTTGATAAGGGAATCGAGAGCTACTCGTGTTAAACGCTTTGGATGGGGGTAAATTTATTTTTAATACTTTTTAAAATTGTCGAAGATTATATACCCTTTTTATCAAATATTTACCCCTTCCAGCGAGAAATATTTTAAAATTTTTTAAAAGAAAAAATTAATTTTAAATTTAAGTTGCTGTGGTTGTGGCTGTGGATGTTGCGGCGGATTTGGCGGTATAGGACTCTTCGCCTTTGGAAAATAAATAGAAAATTCTAAAAAGAATAAAGGCTCTGATAAAAATAAATAGAATTAGAATAAATTTGTTCTATTTTTATATTTTTAATAATTAATAAAAATTAAAGTTGGTTGGTAGTTTATGAAAAAAATATTCATTCACATTAGGATTGCAAAATGGACCAGACTCGGACCGAAAGATCGAGTCGAGCCTATGATATTTGGCCCGAAAAAGGCTCGTACGACTCAATAAAGTTAGGCCCGAAAGTGACATGTACAGGCCAATTCGATAAAAATGGCTCGATCGTCGACCCGACTCGAAAACGCAACCCTAATCCACATTACAAGAAGTGAACGGAACATAAATTTTTTTATAAATTTATTTAATTCAATTTCATTAAGCATCTCATGTTCATTTACCGCGTATGCTTGAATGCTTTAATAATTGCCCTCCCCAAGGTGACCCTTACCAAACCACCAAAATAGGGTCCAGTCACAAAAATAGGGCAAAAATAAGGCTTTATTTTAAAACTTAAAAATAATTACAAAATGGTAAAAATATGCCAAATATGGCAAATGTAGGAAATAAGGAAGAAATAAGGCGTCAAGATCAAAAATATGGCAAATGCCTATATTAAAAAATGGTCACATGGTAAAAGGGTTACATTGGCCCTCCCCAAATATAATCAACTCCCTCATTTCGAAGGAGAAACAATAATTTCCCAGGGTAATTATTTAAGCATAAACGTCAGTTTTTTTTCACTTCTTTGCCGTTAAATAAAGCACTCCTTTGTTGGATAGACGGCATTTTAAGGTATTTGGTTGAACATCGGTAGGCAGACGATAACATCGATGAATCTCTCTTCTGACAGATCCATTCTCGTCTATAAATTATTTTTAATATTTTTAATTAAAATTCAAAAATAATATTTTACTTGCGCGTGGTTCGTGTAAACAATGGATAAGCACTTCATTTCCAGAAATATTTACCTTTAAAATGTAAACAGAATTAGTAAAGAATAAGGCGATAAATATTCCATTTTTGTCGAAAAATTCTTTTAATTTTTTTATTTTTTTTTGCTTTGTAAATAGGTATTAGCGGTTCCTATTACAATTTATTTTAATTTTCCAAGACTATTGCAACTTTAAATTTAAAATTTTTCATTTTATCTTATTTTTCTTATTGTTAATTGTTGCCTGTGGCGGCTCGAATGCCCTATCCTATCCCAATTGAGCCACCATACGAAGAGATTGACCGTTCATTAACACCACTATTTTAACCCTTTTATTTGCCGAGTTTTTGTAAGGATGATTTACCTAAAGCATTTAAATTACTTAGGCGTAGGTTAAACGATCTAAAGATGAAAAAAGGAAAGCATTGGTCAATGCCTCGGTAGCTCAATGATTGAGCTCAGGGCTCCGATCGACAAAATTCCAATTTATAATACAAAAATCTCGATTTTAAAGGACATAGGGACAAAATTTCCAAATTTAAAGTACACTCCAAATTAAATTAGAAAATATTTATTCGTGCTCAAATCTTTTATATTTCTCTCCTAAATTAATCTTTTCTAATAATTTCTTGTTTCCACTGAGCATTTTCTGCATTTCAATGCGCTTTTTGTGGCGCCTATGGCGACTCAAAATCTATTTTTTGCGCCGCATGCGAAAATTTTGAGAATTTTGGAGGTCCTTAAGCCAGATTTCTTCCATTTCTTCAAAATGTTGATTTTAAAGTACATACTTACAATAAAGTACAAATTGAAGTACGGAGGTCGATTTTAAAGTACTGTACTTTCAAATAAGGTACGAATCGGAGCCCTGATTGAGCTCCTGTATCTGGTTAGGGAAAGCGCCTAGCAATAACTGTCAAAAGGTCGCAGGTTCATCCTGTCCACTGGCTAACTTTTGCAACCTTTTTCTATGTTTAAACTTGAAACCCTAAAAATGAAACTTAGACTTAAAGATTTTTTCAAATTTTTAAGTCTAAAATTCAAGTATAATTACCTCAATTTCACTTGGCAAAAAGAACTGAACATCCAATAAAACTTCAAACTTATCATCAGTATTGAGTACCTTAACAATACCGTTTGTGTGTTGTAGAGGCCCTAGAAAATTTTTTTTAACTTCATAAAAATTTTTCTCTAAATAATTAACTAACAATCCCATTCACTAGCCACTTCAACTTCAATATTATTTTCATTTGGAATATTAACTGAATGTCTTCTTGGACAAATAAAGTTTTGTGTCCCTTTAGGTTTTTGTATTATTATTAATTTTGGTAGCTGATTGAGAAATTGTACTTCATCCTCTCCTTTTCCAAAATTTGGATTGGGATTTAAAAAACCTTTTGAATCCATTTCAAAAAGAAAAACAGAATTTTATTATTTTTGTTAAATTTTTGAAAAGCTGAATTTATTTATAAGGGCTGTGGACTCAGAAAAATTCTTATAATATATCGATATAATTAGGGTTCGAAAGATCGAACGAGGCATCACATTTTGGCTAGAAAAAGACTTGAACGTAGGCCAATTCGTAGACCCAACCCTATATTATAAGAATGTTATGTTTTTTTGGAGATCTTGATGGCATTCGATAGAGAATTGAATTATCTACAAAACGGTACCCAACCGAAAAACTTAAGATTTTTTGTTCGGCGGTTCTTCATTCTCCCTGCAAATCTATTATTATCCCCCTCACTCGATGATGTTCTTATCCTTCCCTAGATAAAATCGAATGGCACTATTATCTTAAAAAATATTTTCCCTTCATGATTTAACATATCCGAATTAACTTTATTTTAAAGCTCAAATAGTTAACCTGGCAAAATTTAATTTTCTTAATTTAATTTTTATTTAGATAAGTATGTTTCAAAACTTGAAATAACGAATAATCTTTGTGTTTTAAATTTGAGAAAAATAGGAAAATTTTTTTTCAAAAACTAAAGTTAAAGCAACATAATATAAAAATTGTAAATATAAAAGAAAAATAAACTTAAAACTTTAAATAAAGGAAAAAACAAAGAAAAAAACAGAAAATATCTAAAAATAAATTTAAAAACAAATAAAAATTTATTTTTCAAGAAATTAATATTTTTATTAAATAAAAAAAAGAAAAATCACAAGAATTAAAAAAAATATTTTAAATAAAAAATATTTACCTTTTTATTTTTCAAAGATTAATTTCTTAGGTGAATTTATGGAATATTTTAAATTATAAAGTAAACAAAAATATTTTTTATTTTATATTTTTTGTAGAAGTTATGGAAGGCTTTAAGGGTGCCAAATCGTTTTCTTTTTATTAAAAAAGAAAAAAATTTTTCTCTTTTTTACAAACAGATTTGGAAGCTCCAGAAAGCCCACCACTTTTTTTACTTCAATTTTTTTTTCAATTTATTAATTTTTAGAAGGAAAATATTTTTTAAGGATTAAGGAAATGTTTGAAGTCTGGGCGTGTTGAATTTATAATATTTTTATTCATCTGAAATTTATTTATAAATAAAATTCTTTTTTCTAAATTCCATTTGATAATAATTTTTTATATTATTTATTTGACTAGTTGCTTTTTAAATTCTGATTAAGAAATTGTTTTTATTTTCAGAATATAATATTTATATTTTAATATAAAACTTAATTAAAAATGTTGTAGTTAGAATTAGGGTTTTAAGTTTTGAACCGAACCGAAACGAAGAATCGGAGATTTTTCGGTTCGGTTTTTCGAAAGAACCGACAATTTTGCAAGAACCGACAACCTTATTTAAAATTTTTGCCTAAAAATAGATGGGATTATTCAAATCTCGATAGAATTCTTGTTCAATTAGCGTCTCTCTTTAATACTTCACTAAAATTCGGTCCCGGTTTGAGTTTAGATAGATCTGATCAACCAATATTAAGTCTCATCAATAAGACGGGTCTCATTCCTATCTAGTTGTTCCCCTCCTATGGAGATTTGACTATACAAACAATAAAATCTCTCCATTACGTAGCTTCTTGCGATCGAATTTCGTTGCTCAAAACGTGGTTATATAAAGAGATCTGTATAACGTCTTTATAGACTTTATAGAACGAATTTTTCTTCAAAAATAGGTTGTTATATAGTTAAGTAACACTGAGCTAAATAAGAACTTTCAGTAATTTTACTAATTATTTTTTAAACGTAAACAAGTAAAAGTAATTAAAAAAATTTTTTGATGACTCCCCCATATATAAAGTTAAGTAGATAATATTAATAAAATATTTAAAAATGTATGCGGAAAAATATATACATCCATATATCCAAAGTATTCTGTAATGACGCAAAATAATCCATTAAAAAGAAAAATAAGCATCTAAGGATTAAAAGACTGTAATAAATATAAATCCTATACATTTTTCCATGAAAATATGAGGAAATTATTTTAAGTCACAAAAAAAGTTTTTTATACGTGTTAAAAAATTTATTTTTAGTTAATAATTATTATAATAATTAAAAATAAAATTGACAAAATAAGACTATATCAAGATGAAAGCACGGTAGATTACGGTATAATGTAACAAACGAAAGACACTCCCGTTACATGACTCACATTAATTTAAAAAATTTGCTAGGAAACTCTATGCGATTCCCAATATTTAAGAATTTATGCCTAATTGTAAGAATATAAGCTAATATAACTAGTTTTTAGTACTGTATAAAAAGACAAATTTCGACACAAAAATATATTAAAACTCCCAAAAAATTTGACAATATATCTAAGTATAACAAAGTCTATCAAAATCTATTCCCTCAAATACATTGAACTAAGAATTGTTCTTAGTTTTTTATATTTAATTCATATAGTAAATCTTTTAATGGAAGCATTCACAACAATTTGCTTTGACATTTTTAGTGAAGCCAAATGGGAGCGCTAGGGATCATTTTTCTTTCGGAGTCAAATTTTTCCTTTAATTCATTCACTTCCAAATCCACACAAAATTTTCTCTCAATATACATATCTTCACAAATATTAATTCCAAAAATGTAGCTAAATATATCAATAATCATAAAAAATCTTAATACAGAAATTCACATCTCGAAAGATTAAAAATTTAATGATGGGACAAAATTTTCTTTAATACCGTAAATCATATTTTTAAAACTTTTTACTATCTCAAGCCCATATATTAACTTTCTCAATTTTTTGTTTAAAAATAAATATTTTGTATAATATTCCAAAATATTTACTCGTTTTCTAAACGTAAAAACACAAAATTTAAAGAACAAAAAACGTCATTGTATCTTTTGTACTTTTCGGACGTTAAAAGAACAATTAATATAATGGACTTAGCATCAAATTTCTTTATAAAATAAAATAAATAAAAATGTTTCTGTTCTTTTTGATATCAATGACCAACATTTTTAAGCCTAAAACTTGTTTTACTAAAAAATTTTGTTGTTTGTTTGGAAGTAAAAGATAGATTGAGAGAAGCATGAGAGGACACTGTTGAGTCTATTAACCATAACTCACGGAAGGATGTACCTTTAAAGGCAATTTTGGTCTCATTCGATAGAGGAAAGAATTTGCTATAAAATAGAAGAAAATTAAAATTTTGAATTTGTTAACAAAAAAGATATGAACGGAAAACTGGAAAAACGTCCTCCCTTTGAGGGGTTTCTCTACTTAATTTACTTTTTTTTTAATAAAATTAATTCCTAATTTTATTAAGCAGTTAATTAAATCACTATCAAACTATACCAAAATCTTCCCATAATGGTCAGTAATTGTTAAAAATAAAGCCTTGACTCAACTCAACTCTTTATTATATTTGTTTTATTCTGAAATTGATCATCATTTTTTCTCTTTGTTTGCTGTCCATTGTTTTAAAAGTGAGGCATTGTATTAAAAACTTAAAAATGAGATGGATAAATGTTGGGATTCGTTCATTTATAATTTACTTCTCCGTTGTTAATAAATAATGACTGCCTTGACGTTGAAAACCTGCATTAATTTGTAAGTTGATTTTTAACTGTATTTTACTTGGTTTAGGTAATAATAGTAACCTTCGTTATTTAAAACGTGTAAGACGGAAACATTCTAGAGTTGAAAAACGGAAGCGGAAGGGCCAAAAAGATGAAATTAAGCCCATTACTGGCTTAATTCTCTATAGCTTGAGATCACTTTGTCTATAAATTCAAATTTTAGAACTTTGGAAGAATCTTTAAGAAATTGGGCGAATAGTTCACTATTTTATGGAAAATTTTCAAACGTATCTACTTCCGCACAAATTTTTAGTACTATATTATTTTAAATTGCAACTATGTCATTTTGGGGTTTTCTTATCTTATATTAGTTATGGTTATTAGACTAACTTATTATTTACAGTCTAATCTGCTCTCTAGTACTTCAATATAAATCAATTAATGCCCAAAATTTGGCACCTGGACAAACAGATTTCGTTTTACTTCCATGCACATTGAAAATAGAGGCAGGCCAGTATCCATGTGAACAACAACAATTAGGTGGAAATGTTCTTGTCGGGGATCAAATTCCACCAAATCAGCAGCAATCAGCTCCGTCAATATCTCCTCAATTTGAAGCACCTCAATCGATGGCTCAAATGACTAAATCATCCCTATTTCCAGGCACTAATAAACAACAACCAGGAATGGGAAACAGTACGTTTTCGGCAACAAATAATGGCTATTACACAGTATACCTCTAATAATATACATGCAAATTCTGAAACAATTGATCCTAAACGTTCTTTTTGAGGGATTATCCGATTACAATTCTAACCTCATGATTAGAAAATACATTCCAGAAATAGTTTGTGATACACGAGTAATTAAAATCAGAAGGATAACATTAGCTAACGGTATATATCAGGGTTGGACGAGACCGATGTCATTATAGTGTTAAAAATGTTTTTTAAAGATTTATATGTAATCAAAAAATAAAAAATTTTTCAAAGCTCTTCAATCCCCATTGCAACAACAACCACAATTAACTGTGCCTCCAAATTTTCGTTTGACAAAACTTGCGGATCTTGTACAAATACTTCCAGAAATTCAGCAATCTATGATTCAAGTAGTGGAAACTTCGGAACCCGAAAATATTGAATGTTTGTTTAAAATTTTGAACTGTTTTTTCAGTAAAGCTTTCCGATATATAAAAAAATTTTTTAGTCGTCCAAACACCTCCATCAACACCTCCACCTCTTTCATTACCTCCACAACCGACTTCTCAAATACCATTAACATTACCTATGGTAGCTTTGCCTCTATGTCAAAATAGCTGGCTTTCAATTGCATCAGCACGTCTTTGTCCTGTTCAGACTTTGGATACGACTATTAATGGAGTGAGGAAAAATTAGGGGATAAATTTAATTGGAAATGGGTTGGGGATCTCTTAATTCTCGGAGGGGAGGGGGGAGTATCCAGCTTTTAAGATTTAATTTTTCTTTCTTTTAGCAATCTCTTCTAACCTCTCCTAATGCTGCTCAATTACAAACTCCAACATCGTTTGACGCTACTGCAGAATTACAAAATTATTTATCTAGTTCGCCTTCGGTAAATGGACTTTCTCAACCACCAATGCCTAGGTATACATATAGCAAGCCTAATTAAATATAAAATAAAAATTAAAAAAAATTAGAAATTAAAGAAAATTATTTTTAAAGGTCAACAACGTCATTAAATAAAATTGCCTCTTCTCCTCCATTAAATAAAAATAATTTATTATTTTTGCCAACTTCGAAAACAACAAATTTTAATTTTGCTAATTCACCACGATATTTACCTTATAATAATATACAAGCATTATCTACTATTAATGGAAATATTAAAAATATGGGAAGAATTTAAACAATGATTCAGAGAAAGGGAGAGGGATTATTTCAAAATAATTATTTTATTGTAATTGAAAAATAATGTTTAGATTGAATAAATTTAAAATAAATTAAATTTAAAAATAATAATAAATTTAAAAATAATAGTCAACATTAGTTTATAAATTAATATTGCCTTTACTATCATTTCTGAAAAATGTTCAGGCTTTCTGAAGAGCTGTACGGAAGGTGATTGAAAAATAGGAAATTGGCTTTCCATTCAAAATTTACCTGATAAAGCTGAAGAAAACCACATTAACCAAAAAAGCTTACAAAACTTCCCAGATAGTGGAATTAAAAATAAAACAGAAGCAATATCATATTCGCAATTAGTGAAGTAAGAAATAAAAATTTAAACACATTCGCAAAATCAAATGAAAATAATAACATCAAAAATCAAAACAAGCCTTCCAGACGGAATAAATTCCAGAGCGAAAAAACTTGGAGTCTAAAATAAATTATTTTAAAAAACGACTCTTCTAATCCTTTGTTTTCTTTTCATGTTTTCGATATCTCCCCGTACTGATGTATCATATGTTCGATAATGTTATCAGTTGGAAGCGAGGATTTAGGAAATAGGTAAACTATTTAGAATGGGAAAATTTTTGTTAAAAGAATAGAAAATTTATTCAATTTTACTAGAAAAATTACAAAATAAAATTGTATAAGAAAATGACTTTCCATTTCATTATGCTCAAATTTTCACATTAATTTTTTGACAGATTTATTCAAACGGTTTCATCATTTGCTAGTTGTTACCTCTTTAAAAATTTTAATAGTTCGTCTCATTAATCTTCACTCTTTCTTTTGTTAATCCATCCTTATCTAAATAAAATTCATAACTTCCATCATCAATTAATGGCTCAATTATGGCAATTATTTTAATGTTGTTAAATCTGCTCATTAAATCTACATTATCTACATATATTTGGCCATCTTCTATATGAACTATATCTGTTTTTGATATATAGACTAATATTCCATGTCTCAAACTTTTCAATACTTTCTTCTCCAGATCAGAAATTTTCTTGAAAATTTTGTAAAAACATCGTTTCTCATTTGCCTTTTTAATTTTAACGTAGAATTCAAACCATCCATTATAATTATTTAAAACATTAATAAAAAAATTGCCTAGATTTTCAAATTTTAAACAAATTTCAATGTGAGAATATTCCATTTTCTCATGATGTTTTTTGTCTTTTAATATTATTGAATCAATAAAATTAGCCTTGCTAAGATTATCTCTGTCCAAAATTTTTCTAGGCCCTTCCGGATTCAAAAAACATATTAATCTTGTCAACTTTGCATAATTGTGCCAAAAATCTGTTTTAAATGCCCATAAATTTGTTTTTATTCCGTTTATATTTATTAATATAGGAGCATTTATACTAGCATCATTTGTAGTAATTCTTTCATTTAATTGTTTATTAAACTCCAAATCGAATTGTGCAAAAAACATAGGTCTCAAAGTCATTAATATCTAAACCCACAATTTTAATTACATTTAAACATATTCAGAGTTTTCCCGGATTTTCAAACCTCTGAAAATCCGAGAAACATAAGGGGAGTAAGCTGTTTTTTGTGGTCAAAAATTCGATTATGCAAATAATAGCCATTCGAAAGGGCTCGACGAGCTGAGTTGAATGACACCATATTCAGCTCGATTGGATGATTATGAACAAAGTTATGACCAACAGACCAACAATCATGCACAAATATCCGGGATTTAGGCGTAATAAATGATAGTAATTTAACATTTTCAGATCATATAAATAGGATAGTTAGAAACGCTTATTTGAAAAGCCATAAAATATTACGAATAATGAAAACAAGAGAACTAAGCACACTAATAATGGCTTATAAATCATATGTCCGATCACAACTATATTCAAATTTATATATTTTTTTCTGATATATTATATATACCATTTTTTAACTTATGTTTTACAATTTACATTTAATTTAATTTTTTTTGCTTGTTTACATTTATTTGTAATTTTTTTCACACATTTATTTGTAATTTTATTTCGCCACTATAATTGCGCAAATGCGCTAGTGGTTTGCTCAATAAATAAATAAATCACCAACGCTCGACATGCTAGCTTTCTCCGCAGCGGTAAAAACATTTTTTCGCGGAGACAATGTGGAGGGGATAAAAACAAACGGTCATAACTTTGTAAAATTTTTGGTGTCATTCAAATCATCTCGACGAGATCTTTCGAATGAGCTATTATGGTTTTGACCCCAAAAAAAGCTTAATACCTCCATGCTTCCCGGATTTTAAGGGGTATAAACATCCTGAAAAAATGCAAAATTGGACCATCTTGAGTAATTTTATACTGATATTTCATCTTCCCAAATCTCTTTAGACAAGAAAAACATGAATTTAGGTGTGTTCATGAGCCGTAGTCTAGCTATATTCAGTCAAAATTCGAACATATTTTGGTAGAGATTTTCCATCATACTAGAGATTTTCTATCATACCGGAAAAATTTTAAGAATTTCGCATTTCGGGCATTTTCGCGTTTTTTGGACTTTCGCATTTCGCGTGTCTAAATTTACTTTCGCTTTTCGCGTTTCACTTTATAAATTTAATTTCGCTTTTCGCGTTTCGCTTTTTAAAATCCGTTTCGGCACACCCCTGGTATATAACGGCCGTGATACTCATTTATCATTCATCTATATTTAGATTTTATAGCTCCTAGGGATATTTCAAATAAAGATCTGACTTTAAAATTAATCAGAACTAAGAAATGATATGCATATTTACCTTAATATTATTGTTATCTTCTTTGAAGCAAATATTAATTTTATATATTTGTGAAGATAAAAACAAATCCTCAATCAAAAGTAATTTTTTCCCTTTAATTCCACTCATTATGCTTTTTATTTTGTGTGTAGTTTCGCCTGGATTAGAACACTCGTAATGTGTTGAACTTGTATAAATACAATCTCTTTCATTTTTTTCATCAATTTCGTATAAAATTTCAATTTTGTATTTCACTTCATCAATTTTATTCACTTCCATTCTCAACAAATTTATTTTAACACTTCCATCCTGGTTTTTATTATTTTCTGAAGATTCAACCAAAATTCGTTGATTATTTTGTAAATTTTCCGAAGAAAAAGAAGAAAATAATAAATTAAATAAAAAGACAAATAATTTTATTTTATTCTTCATTGAAAAGCAAAAATTAAAAATATTTTTTATTAAATTATTCTGAGCTTTATGACAAATTTAAACTGTTTTATATTTGCACTTTGTTATGTCGCCTTTTAAATGTTTAGAAATAATTTCCTTTCATAGGGTATTTCATTAAATTCACATGAAAAATACATTAATTAAATGAATTAAAGAAATATTTCGAAAATATAAGCTTGCACTTGTAGGGAGAAAGCATTAAAATAACATCATAAGGGTGGATGGAGCATAATGATCGATCATATATTTGAACTTTATTTGATAGAATTGTTAATTTTTTTACTAAAATGTGAAATTATTTTGCCCTTAAAGATCATTTCGGAAATGCACTTTAATAAAATATAATTTTTTTTAAAAAATGTTTATTTCTCATAATTTTAAAAGAATTTCCGAGTAAAAATATTTTTCTGAAAAATAGGCTCATTGTCTATCGTTAATTGTTCATGCCTTTGAGCTTTCTATAAAAATAATATTCTCGCTCATATCTCTTTCCTTTTCTGTAATCTTCAGCATTTTTATTTGATTAAAGTGGATACTCCCTAATCTTTTGATTTTTCTTTTTCTCCTAGTCTTCTTAGGTTGTAATAGATTTTAAACGTGTCGTGCATTGTTATTACTTAATAAAGCAGTTAATTTCATTTCTCTCCTGGCATCCCTTTCTCTTGCATGATGATAAAAAGATTTTTAGTAAATATGCTGGAATACAAGGTCAAATGTTTAAAAATGTAACAGTAATAAACCATTTGTGTTGATTTAATTACACCAAAAATCCGGCAAGAGTATTATATATCCTTCCATTAAAATTATTTTCAGAAAAAAATATTAAAATTCATTTTCAAAAATGAGCTCCCAAGCTATAGCCTTCTACAAAGCCGAAATACTTTTATTAGAAGGCAGCTTTATTTTTTGAACGGAAAATGCAATTTCAAAATAATCGTATTATAAAGCTACAACAACAAATTAAGCAAAATACTGAAACGAAGAAGCTGATGAAATTAAAGAAGGATAAGCATCCATCAGTATATGAAGTAGCAACGAAGGAGCAAATAGAGGATGGTGAGTTTTTATTTAATTTTGGATCCTTTTTTATAGTTCAGGGGTTCCGTTCTATACTGTTTATACTATTACCAAAATTTAAGAAGTGATTAGTTATTAGGTAAATGTTTTTTCATTTTTTCCTTTACTTGCGTTTTTAGTGGATTTTTTCTTTTTATTTTATCCTTTTCTTCATGTAACGCCCGCTTGATTTCATTGAAAAAAGAAAGAGATTCGTCCATACCGCCCGCACATTTATTCTTTTTTTATGGCCGAAACATTTGTCGTTGCTCTTCGGTATGACGAATGCTCTCAAGCAAGAGGCGGCAGAGCTAATTTTCTGGATTTGTGTAAAGTGAAAAGCCAAAAAAATAAACAAATGCTAGAGGAGTTATAAAATTTTCGGATTTTAAACAGTTTAAAAATGGATTTAAAATCAATGGCTAATTTTTACAACAAAAAATATTGTAATACAAGACAAAAAGCGCGGTTAATTGTAAGTAAATTATCTAAGTCAGAAAAATAGGGGGAAAAGGAGGCTTTTTAAATATTTTTGAAAAATTGAAAATTTGGTCTAGGCTAGGAAATAACTGTAAGGCAGGAAGGGACCTATTTTTCAACAACTAATTGATCAGCGGGAAAAACCTATATGAAGAATCCTAGGACAGCCAGAGAACAGTAGATGAAGGAGGGAAGGCGGGAAGGCTTTTTTAAATATTTTTTAAAAAATTGGATTACAAAATAGACCTTGAATATAAGACGCTGGGAAATGATTCTAGGTCCATAAGAAAAAAATTCAAAATAGTTAAATATTTTATACCAAATATTTATATATTCTTGTTTAAAATAATCAAAATTACTAATTTAAAATTTAGAAAAGTTGTGTCAAAATAAATTAAAATATAAAAGAACCATGTTTTCTGTCTAATCTTATATAAAGTATTGAACCCTCATTCATTTAATTCTATTCATTCATAATAGTTTTCTCCAGATAAAATTTAAGAATGTTGCCATTTTGGTTGATGTTTATCCATAATTGCAGTCATTTTTTCTTTACGGTCATTCTTTAAAAATAAAAAATTTTAATGAGAGATTAAAATATAAAGCTTACAGTTGCAAAAGTAGTATGAAACATTCGACGTTCAAAAAGTAATCTAAAAAATTTGAAAGATGTAATTGTAAATAAGGGAGTTTAAGGGGTTAAGAAAAAAGTCGGGTTTCAGGCTTGGTTCTTAAAATGTCTTAGGATCGGGTTTTTGGCTAAAAAAAGTTTCAAGTTATTTACGAGGGAAAAAAGACGGGTCTGAGTATTGGTAACACATGGCATCTCTATTGTCAATAAGGTGTAAATTTTTTTAATTAAAACTTCTTCTAAAGGACTCATAAGCAAGCTTAGTCGCTCATAAGGCGATTAACGATTTAATTGCTACTTTCTAAAATTCGTATGATTAAATCTTGTGTAAAAAGTGCTCATTTAATGATATTTTTGTATATCATGACATTTCATTGTGTCATTTATAACTCGAAGAAAGTCTTCTCCTTTGAGATTAAAATGATTTTGGTTTTATAAACCTTAGATATTTTATTCAACTTTAGCATTATTTAATGCATTTTAAAAGTAGTGCTATACTAAAAAAATGAAAAATGAGAAATAATCAATATAGAATTTTCTACAGCACAAGCATAAAAAATTTAGGATTTAGTTTTATCCCACCAATTTAAGAAGATAATCGAATAACCAGGAAGACTAATTGATTAACCCGAAGGGCGCGGGAAATTTCCCAACCTTGTAGAAGTTTGGATAAATACAAATTATTAATAAAAATGCATTGTTTTAGTTTTAGTCCAAATTAAAGTGGATTACGACAAGGAAAGCTAAATGTATTATTTAAAAACGGCTCTCTAATCATTTGTTTTCATTAGATGCTCGATACCGCAACCTTAATCTCTAATTAATTAAAGTTGCGGTTTTAAGTATTGTACACGAAAAACAACGCATAACAGTTATACTTCTGCAAGAAGCGACGGGTTTTGTTGAACGTCAAAGTCCAGATTCCAAGGTTGTAGAGAAGTTCAAAAATCGGCTTTTCCTTTGACGGGTAGGTATTCTCCTAAGATAAATTTTACTTAAACCTAACTTAAAGGCACATCTTAACTGAGGAGTAACTGTTGAAGGTTTTTGGGCAAAGATTTTTCGTGAAGAGGCTTTTAGTTTGGGATGCATTTCGATCACATATTAGCGAATATACAAAAAAGGTAACTTTAATTCAGAAATATAAAATTTTATAAAATAAAATTTGCATAAAATAAAATTTGATACGGTAGTTGTAACATCTGGGTGTATCAAATTTTGTCAGGTTTTTTAAATTACAAAATTTAAAAACATTTATCAAATTAAGGTCGTAGATTTTTCAGAGTTTAATTAGAAAATTCTAAGATGATTTTCTCCTTCATAGTGAGAAAGAATTTACAGCTGCAGGATATTTATGATAATGAACTTAATGAGGCGGAAATTATTGGGATTATTTTTTAAACTTTTCTAAAGATTTACTCAAAAATATTTACTCAAAAGCATTTTTTATTTTTGTGTATTTTTGTGGCCCTATTTATACTTATAGAATGGTTATAAACTTGTCCCGAGGAAACTTTATTTGACCGAGAAAATTTATAAAAGTGATTTCTCAGAATTTTAATTTTGTGTGGAAAATCAATATAGAAAAAATCATAAAAAATTCCTGAGATTTACCTAGAGATATGATGCAGAATGGCAAGAGAATCTAATTTTCAACTCACCTCCATCATCGAGATCTCGTGATCCAATAGCAACGGAAACATGGGATAATTTGGGGGTGATTTAATCTATTTATCTGTTTAATCCTTTATTTTAAGATCTTTCATACATTGTGTTATAACGATTGACATTAATAGTTTAGTCAACAGCTTCAGGAACTCCAAGCCCACCTTCTATGATGACTTATAGTGGCAAAAATTTACTTAGGCTCAAAATTACTTAGGCTTTACTTAATTTACTTAGGCTTTACTTGACTCAAATTTTCACATCAATTTTTTGACGAATTTATTTAAAATGTTTCAACATTTGCTAATGTTTACCTCTTTAAAAATTTTAATAATTCGTCTCATTAATCTTCGCTCTTTCTTTTGTTGATCCATCTTTATCTAAATAAAATTCATAACTTCCATCATCAATTAATGGCTCAATTATGGCAATTACATTAATGTTGTGAAATGTGTTTGAAAATTCTTTATTAACTACATTCATTTGCCCATCTTCAATATTATCTATATGTGTCTTTGATACTCTTATTAATATGGCATGTCTCAAACTTTTCAATAATTTTTTCTCTAAATAAGAAATTTTCTTAAACACTTTGAAGACACATTTTTCCTCGTTTGATTTTTTAATTTTAGCGTAGAATTGAAACCATCCATAATTGTAATTATCATTAAAGATATTAATAGAATAATTCCCTGGATTGTTAAATTTTAAACAAATTTCAATGTGAGAATATTCCATTTTCTCTTCATGTTTTTTGCTTTTTAATGAAGTTGAATTAATAAAATTAGCTTTTCCAAAATTTTCTCTTTTTAAAATTTTTCTAGGCCCTTCTGGGTTCAAAAAACAAATTAATTTTGTCAACTTTGCATACTTCTTTCGAAATGTCCCTAATACTATTAGTATTCCGTTTATATTTATCATTCTACCAAACTTCGTAATACTCTCAGCTAATAATAATTTATTAAACTCCAAATCGAATTGTGCATAAAATATAGGTGTCAATGTCATCAATGTCTAAAAATCGTATTAGAATTTTAATTAAATTCAAACTCATTCAGTTAAAATTCGAAAATTTTTGGCCTTGAAAGTATCTAGGTAATTAATCGGTTCGTATACCCACTCTTTTTTCTGAACATCTTCTTCCCCCTCCCGTTCTCCCTTATTTTTCATGATGCAAAATATATTTTTCCGCCGTGGAGGTGCTTCTACAATCGTGTAGCGAAATCATGCCCGGCAGTACAAAAAAAGTTTCTCCAGGAAGGTTCAGTTAATTATGATTTTGTCAAATCAATCAGATTCTGTTGATTTTCGTGGCGTTTGACTCAGTTTGAGGAGCCCATGCGAATAAGGTATTTGTATAAACAAATCTTTTACTTCAAAAATCAGCTTGGTCCCTCTTTATATTTTTTTGACAATTATAAGTCAATAACTCGGCTTACAATTGAGAACGGATCGACTTGTTCCCTTAAATTGCAAATTGTAATGGTTGAGTATAACTAAAAAAATAAGAGAGAAAGGGGTGAAAAAATGATCAGAAAAAAGAGGGAGTATACGAACCGTAGAATTACCAGTATCTATCTCAAGATTTTTTTAATCTAAACACGCTTATCGATAAAAGACTTACAACACCCGTGTCGCCAAACATTGGCGACTTTTGGCCAATTTTTTACCCGATCATTTTTGGTTAATTTTTTCCTTGTTCACTGTTCATTTCTTGTCGTCCACTCTCCTTTTTTCAAACTTATTTGCCCGCCTAAATTCCTTTCATTTATTTTTGTGTCCGTTCGTACCAGCCACCCTCTGTTCTCTTACTTATTTTTTCCTATTGTTTTTGGACTTGGCTTCTCTGGCCGAGTCTTCTCTTCTGTTTATTTTTCTCTAGCTACTTCGCGCAATTTTTCAAACTTACATTTTTTCATTATTTTATTGCCAGACCCCGCCCTTATTTGCGCCTATTTAAGAGGTAGATCAGCCACCCAAATATCCTCATTCTTCTTCAACTTCAACAACCTTCAACTTAAATCGCGTGTGGCTGATCTGCTTCGCTGGCCCCTTGCTGGCCCTCAACTTGTTCGCCCTGATTGTTTATTGCTATTTGGAGAAATAAAATTGCTTTTTGTTGGACTTGTGTGTGTTTTTTTGGGTGGTTAAAGTGAACGTGCACCGTTCACTTCTGCTTTCTTGGTGAACCGCACTACGGTTCACCACTGCTATTCTTGGCTAGAGTTCACTGCCCTTCTCTTCCTTCGACTGTTGGCACTACCAACAGTCTGGTGCTAGTGCCACTATACACTAGCTGGTGCCACGACTCTTCCTCCTCCTCTCCAAACCATTTGTCGGGAACTCCCGACTCCCGACAAACTGGTGCCACGACCCTGGGAAGACGGGGACGACGACAACAACTACCACTACTACTACCACAACAATTACCACCACTTCACCACAACAACAACTACTACTGCTGAATTGAGCTGAGCAACAGCCACAGCAACAATCACCACTACAACAACTTCAACTAGTGTGTGAGCGGAGCCACCGCCACATCACTCTACAACAACCACTCTATTTTTGTGTGTGAGCTGCACTACAGCCACCACCAAAACACTACTACACCAACTACTTCAACTTTGTGTGTGAGCGGAGCGACCGACACAACAACTTCAACTACTCGTTCTCTTTTTGGTTGGCTGAGAACAGTCACTACAACAACAACTACACTTGGTGGGAGGTGAACTACACTTGGTGGGAGGTGAACTACACCCACAATAATGTCAGCAGTGATCCGCCTTCAACTGGCAACCGTGTTGGCCACACTCAAGGACAAAGGACTTGCTGTTTTGGCCGCGTTAAATGCCAACAACACAACTGTGGAAGAAGATGATCGTCTAGAAGTGGAAGCGTTCCAACTCGAACAAGCTGCTGGAAGGGCTCAAGCACTGATGGATAAATGGTCAGACTTCATTGCCCGACTCATGCCAACGGAACAACAAGACGAAATGGACATTCTTCAAGCCTTCCCGCCGTCGAGAGGCGAAGTAAGAGAGGATGATGAACTCACCGCAGTGGCGCAAATTGAGCGGAGTTTGGAACTGGTGGTCCTGGTCAACGTATGCCTGCAGCAACGAAGAAACGGCGGTCGTGGTTCAGTCTCCTCTCAACGATCTGAGAAGTCCGCTAGAGTGATTGAGGACCAAACTGGTAATGCGCGACGACAGACGCAACACCCAATAGCGAATGGTCAACATGGTTACTCACCTGAACATCCTGATGGTTTTACACGACGTCCAACTCAAACGCGCATTAATGATCACCAAGCTAGAACTGGCAATGGAACAAGTGCCCATCACACCACCTCTGTTAGCCAGGCTGGATTTTCACCATACCAACAACAAGGAACATACCATGGTACACCACTCTACTCAACCTTCAGGCCATTTCGACTAGAACCGATGAAATTTGCTGGTGACCCTAAAGAATGGACTGCCTTTTGGATGGCTTTTGACCGTGCTGTCAACAGTCAACCTCTTCCACCGTTTGAGAAACACCTATGTTTATTGCAAAGTCTGGTACCTGGCTCTGCGGCGCAC